GTGAAATATTTTTTTGCTTGATTCAATGAATATTTTTGATAGAAGAATGGAGGAATTAGAAAGAGAAAAAAGGAATACCACAAGAGTTTTAAGAGAGGATCTTCTCAAAATATTATAATTTTATTTATTTATTAAAAAGTTTGGCAAAAAGAATTCGTCCTAAGGGATGTTTGTAATTGGAAAATAACTTCATTTTGGAGTGATCAGGTCATGGTGCAAAACCTGAGTAGAATTTCCCATTTGTGGATATCACTTTGGAAGAATTGCATGCAATGATGTTTCCATGTTTGATTCATTAAATCTATGTTATTTCGATATTTTAATCATCTTGTTATTATCCATGTTTGGCACAAGTGCACAACACAACATGGACTTGGGTTTTATATTGTCAAACTTTGTGTAAAACATTTTTGGAGCATTTTACCATCTAGTCAACATATTATAAAGCAGATGCATTTATTTCAAGAAAATAAAGAAATCACACATTGAATTTTAGTGCATTTACATATAGATGGAAGAATTTTAATATTATTTAATTAAATATTAATAAACGATCTCGCTATTACGGAAGTTGATTGTTGACAGTCAATGGTCCACGTCCGTCCTAATTGACCTCCAATCCTAGATTCACCAGTGATCTCGAGCTTCCTTTTTGATCCATTTCAAATCACTAAAAATCGTAGTCATCGCTCTTCTAATCACCTACCAATCTTTAATCTTTGCCCACGTGCATGAAGATAAGGAACATTAAAAGAATAGATGCTGTCTAGTTTCCGTATGTGACCAGCAAAAAAACACAATTTCTGTCGATGTCAGGCAGTTGTAGCCTATCCTTCGTGAGCAGTTTCACCTGGGCACTCCACCATAAAATAAAGGAATGTTTTGGAGTGATAAATGGCCTCCAAACCTCCTCAGTCCACACCTTTTTCTCCCCTCTTGGCCGAAAAAATTCATGGGCAGCTTGTACTGAAAACTGCCCAGCTTCGTTCCAGTTCACCAGTGGCGATGCCTCGATGGCAGCATTGTTTGCGCGGTCAGGTCCAGCAAACCATGACTGGGCTTTATCCTTTTTCTTCAGGTTCTTCTAGGGTTCTGTGTCCTTTGTTGGAGCTGGTGCTTGGTTGGACCTACTGGTACGTTTGCAATGACATTATTACTATCTTGAGTTGAACTTTCATGTCTTGTTATCTGAAAGGAGCCCCTTCTCTTGCACCTAAAGCTTGCAAATGTTCTGGTTATTCAAGACTTTGGGAAATTGGGAATGCATCTTTCATATGGAGTGACATCCTTGAAATGTTGGCATCATTAGCTCTTTTAGTTAACAATTGATGCACAATTTTTTTTTTTTAATAACCGTGGATGTTCAGACCATCTTGCACGCACCTCGACTAATCTCACGGGACCCTAAAGTTTACGGTTGAGTACTCACCTCAGTGATCATGAGGGGATTCGAACTGGTGATCATTGAGAAGCAAACTCAAGACCTGACCAATTGAGCAATCCTCAATGTTAACAATTGATGCACAATTGCACAAGAGCTTTAATATCCTTCATACTTCTTTTCCTTATCTATAGGGACATAGTTTATTTTTCCACAACTTACCACAAGAAACATTTAACTTTGGCCGGGGAATGGTTGCTAGACATGTCTACTATTTCCTTGAATCGGTGTACCCGATCATGACAGGTTGGCATCCCCTGAGAACTCCGACTATTATCAAGTCCTCGTTTGCGGTTGAGCCTGTAGTGGCTGATTGGCGTGCAGATGTGAGATTTGCTGCTCCACCTTTAGACGATATTCAACAGAATTGATCAGATATGTGGGCATGTCGCCGTCACACTATCTGACCATGCCAAATTTTAGCTTACATTTCCTTACCTTAGCAGGATGCAAAAATTACAGTGACCTGGAAGATACATCTGTATATTTCTTGAAATCTGTGTCAACGAGTAGTTTTCCTGAATTGGACATCCTCCTGGATCCGACCTAGGCTCGGGATTGATAAGAATTTATACAAATTCAATTGAGCTGATGTAACTATTTCCAGAGGCCTCAAACTGTAAAGCTTTACAACAAAGGGGTTGCACTGTAACCCACCTAAGCACCTTGCAAGGGGTAGGTTTTAATTATAAACGTCCAAGTACTCAAAGGTTTCAATCTAACAAAATCTCCAACATTACAATGGCGAATAATTTTATCACGTGCTAACTTCTACAAATGCTGTCAAATTGTGAACTTTTTCCAACCCACAAAATTATAACAAGAACAATAGAATCTCTATCAGCTTGAGCTGCATACACATACAGGTAAAAAGAACTGAGCACAAGCCACTCCAGAAAAATAAAACATCTGGATTTCTTTCCAGGCTCCACTTCAATCTCTTCAAGGTCACCAATTTCTAATCTGGAACCTTCGGAACCCAACTCAATACCACTGCCAGCAAAAACAAACCATGACTAGCGGATGGGATGGTATTGAGCTGATACTCTTTTGGGAGGTAGCTTGCGCAAGATGAACAACACAAGTGCTGAAGGAAGAATCTCGACCAGCTGTTTTTGCATAAACTATGTGAGAACAAAAAAGTTGGGAAGAAAAGGTTGGCAAACTTGACAAAAGAAGTTTACCATGTAATAGATGAGATTCAAAATTGGATGGTCCAATACTTCAAGAGATGCATATGGGTCGAAAGCAGATAGCCCAACCTGCAGGATGTTGCAAAATATAGGCATCATAAGATCAATAAGGAGTGCATCTAAGAATGCAGTACAAAGAGAAGTATATCACAAACGAAACTAAAAAGCCTGTTTTGAAAATGTTAATAAACGGTTTTGGTTATAAATAGACAGAAATGAGTGGTAGATAGATGGGCAATACTTGTGGATCTCACATAATGTGCGGATAAAAAGTAGTTTAAATGTTTATAAAACTAAGCCAAACATAGGCTAAGATACACTCCAGAATTCTAAAAAGAAAATCCAATTTTCCAACTTATGATTGCTTTATGCCTTATCACATCTGTAGATGTCTGGGAAATTTAAAGAATTTAAAATGACTGCCACCACGTTTGCGGGCTTATACCACAGGTAAAGAAATCGGGACATATTGGCCTACAAATCCACTCCCTCACAATTCCCTTGTAATTAAGAAATATACACACTAAACTCCCACGTCGTACCTCACAAAGCAACATTTACGTTATACTCCAATAAATTCAAATAAATAATAAACATCATCTCATGCATAGTTGCATTTAGTTTTAGGAATAGGGAACTCAACCTAGTGCCAAAATCCCAAGAAGGGATGCAGTCAAAAGTGAGGAATAACATGTCAGAAAACACTCAATATGGCTTCTGGATGTTTGCTATTTGTTTTGTTATTAATTTTTCTAATAATTTTCTTAAATCAAAATTTGCCTCTTTTTCTCCCTATGAGTCAATCTTTTCCATTGCCAAAATTGTTCAAGTCCTATAGTATCCATGATACAAGTCCTATAGTAGAAAAAGGACAGTCTCCACTGGAGAAAAAAAAAAGGAAAAAAGTTTCTTATTAAAATTTGACACGTGTTAATACTATGTGCAGTCTTAGGTCACTTGGTAATATCAACAGTAACAATGCATGTCATATGGTGATAATGGGATGCTTCCCATGGAGAATTAAAGAAATGATGCCCGAATCAGGATATTCAAACTTCAAACTGAGGCTAGAAATAAAGATTCAAAAGAAGTATGCCTGAAACAAGTACTGGTGCCAGAATATTTTAAAGATTTCCGAGAAAGATTTTCATTGGGCACTCTTTAACTTATTTGACTTCTCACCCTGGAAGATAAAAAACACGACAATTAAACCAACACCAAGTCACGCGTGCTATTCGTGCAATCTTTGATTTCAGAAAGAATCTGTTAGTTCTTTTCTTCGCATGCAGAAACACTGAATTCGTTAGTAAGACCAATGCGAGCATCCGTAAGGACAAGGCAAATCAGATTCTTTCAACACAGTGAGCACTTCTATTATGTCAAATAACCAAGTGAAAGGCATTTCGAACCATACCACAAAGCATCTTATAAGAAAACAAGTGAAGCATATAGCCGTCACAAATCCAACCTGCAACAACAAAATCCAATCATTTCTCACTGAGCACTAGAAAGAATGAGAAGGATAGACACTGAAAGTAAGAAAAAGTTGCACAACTGAAATGCATGTGGAGTAATATCATGTGGCTAATAATCACTAAGCTAATAAACAACTGGAGAATAGCAACATCAGCTGATAGACAATACTACCTTCCAACCACCATCACCAGATTTGGAAAAAATTGCAGTACCCTAAATAGATATGCAACTTGTGTTTCTGAACCAGTATTGTAAGTGTTTTAATTTGCCATGTATTACGCTCTGAATGACAAGCTAATCAGAGTTGATATGTAGGGCAAAATTCGACCCTTGAGACATGGTGACCACCACTAAAAGGGCAAATAAAAAATTGTTTTCTATTTGATTTGAAACATTAGCTAATCAAATGGGGTGCATGTGTGGTGTTGTATTACTTTATCATTTTCCATAATGATAATAATTTCAATCCCGAGTATCTTTTAGGGTATAGAAATTTGTGACTCTGTCGTTGAAGAGACTTGCTAATCCAATCTGCTGAAATACAGCGAGTCAAATCATATGAATACATTTAAGGTCCGATTTTCCAGTAATATAAACTCATAAGTATGCAAAACGCTATCAATGCAGACACATTAAGCGATAAACTATTAGGTGAACATTGTTTGGTCCGCAGCCAGAGGCCATAGGACAATCTGGATGGTTTTATCAGAGAAACTTTATATATTCGTTTGGATATTGCATAATGTGTTTTTTCTTATCAATAATATATTGATTTATCAAAAAGTAAACAAAGCATATGTTTGGCAGGTGTTTATAGTTTGTTTATAATCGATCAAACATCTTTTTATCTACACATACTGCGGGACCCACAAATACGGCCACTTAACTCACCATCTATTTATTTGAAATGATTATAAGAAACTCCCAACACGCTTTTTAACGAAACAATCTGTAAATGCTGCAACATAACGCATGTTTGACAAAGCTTAAAACTGCTTACAAGCATGGTATGAAAAAACGCTGTTGAGGCCTGCCTTACTGTGAGGCGCAACTTCTGCGCCTCGAGACTCAATCTGTGAGGCAAAAAAAATNAATATCTAGAATACCAAAAAGCAGCCAAAAATCCTTCTTCACGACAGACAAAAATCTTCCTAGATGGCCAGAACTACACGGCAGTCAGAAATCTTTCCAGAACTAAACGGCAGCCAGAAAACTTATCTTCAATCCTTCGCTTAAAAGAAGTCCTCAAGTGCTGCTTCTATGTCTTTTTTCTCCTTTACTTCTGCCTTCTTCTAGTGACTTACAATTTAAAATTGTTTCACTAGACTTTGTTTGGCTTTTTTCTTGTTTAGTGCATCGATGCCAAATTGCACCTGTTTTGTTCGACAGATTACACCTGTTTTGCTTGTGGTGGGGCTTACGCCTCAACACGTTTTGAGGCTTACGTCTCACCTCATGACAAAAAAACGCCTCAGTACCCGTTTACGTTTTTTCAAACTATGCTTACAAGTTAGTCAAACTCTATTTTTATCCACACACTCCTTAGAACACATAACTTATACCCACTTATTGCCGACACATTTCATAGCACATCTTATCTAGTAAAAGTTTTGCCAAACATGCTCGTAGTATACAGAATATGCAACTCTTTCTGATTCAAATACAATTAGAAGGCATAACCTCATGAAGTTTCTTTCTCCTCCCTTTGGACTCGATGGGAAAGCGTCTTAGCATGAAAAATAACCTGGAATAAGAAAAGATATGAAATTGACAATTGACAAGAGTAACAAAAAAATTGATTTCAAAACCTCAGCAAACAAATTGGGAATGATTAATTTGCTATAAATCATAACAACAGTGATTTGAAAGTTTTCAAATACTTACCTTCCTCCATACAGCAAGAAACCTAATGCTGCGATAAATGATACCACTGCAGAGATCAAAAGAGATGAGAAACCATATATATTTTGAACATAAATGATTTTGGAAAAACTAAAAAAACAAGCAAGAATGAATTTAAAGAGTAGAAATTACTAGGATGATATCAACCTGCCATAAAAATCTTTCCAAAGAATTCCACGGCACTGCTGTCATCTATCCACATGGATGCCCAGATACAGACCTGATTTCAATACCTCTTTACTTATGATCATTTATCAAAAGGAAACTTTTAATTTATACAGAACAGACCAGACAACTGATGCAGGACATCTAAAATAGGATAAAATAAAATAAAGAAGCAAGTTTGGGGATTTTTGGTCACTTGTCCAGTCCTCGTGTCTTTGTTCAAATATCTTTAAGCCTTTCTCATGATTTCATTTATCTACTAGTAAGATGTACAACTTTGTTGATTTGTTGTCTATTAGCAAGAGAAAGCTAGTTAAATTTGTTATTGTATTCCATGATTAGGGCAGTGGTATGTTCCGAATACGCACTGCAGTATCGGGCTGTCATTAACTTGCATCCCTTCATCTCCTCTCTTCCATTTTTCTACAGTTCTCAATTCTCGCTGAACCAGACACTAGTCTAACCCTTTGGCCCTTCCACTCAGAATTCTCCCCAAGCACATGCCCATCCTTTCTCCAACTGAAACATGACTTAACAAACTTATAGTCCTTCAGCAGACATGACTATCTACACCCAAGCCATCCAGCATATGACAATTTCTTAGTTATAGCTATTTGGTGAGGGAATTTTGTCGC